TCTGCTTCACATATAGTCTAGTCCGCCGCGGACGAAGGGGCGTGTCACGCGGGACGAGTTCGGTGCCAATGCCGCACTCCAACAATTGTTGAAGCGAGCAAGTGACAGAAGTATATCATATCGTTTTCTACCAATTTTTGTCGCATACCCGCTTCACAACTGTCAGAGAAAGGATTTGGCGCCGTGGCACACTCATATTGCCTGACACGCCCCTTCGTCCGCAGCGAGCTAGAGTATACCTTGACTCTGATGAAGTGAATTAGTAAATCTAAAAGTGCGAAAAGTGTAGCAGTGCTGAAAACGGTATCATACGCTATCTTGTGGAAGTTGGACGCTAGTAACTTTAGAGGGTGGGGAGGGGGGGTGGGGGGGGGAGATGGGGGTGCGTGACATTCAAGGATACGCTGTACGGTCAGCTACAAGGTAGAGAAAATCACGTCGTACGTCAAAGACTCCCGAGCGGGGAGGGGGGCGGGTTGTATTTGGTCGCTGGGGAGGGCGTCGTACTTGATCTGAGAAAATTTTTTTGGTAGTTCCGGGTTGTTAAATTTTCGCAGTTTTTCCAGTTTCACATATGCTATCCCCCTTTCGCTCGGTGACAGAATTCTGGGGAAGAATTAGATAGCTTCCGGGGAATTTCAGGAAAACTGGAAAAAGTTGTAGCAAGTTGGAAAATCCAGGAAACTTGTAGGTGGCATGGTGAAGAGGGGGGGGGGGGGTCGTAACAGATAAGCGAACCAGGAGAGGTCGTATTTTCCGAAACTTTTTCCCAACGGGAGGTGCTCTGAGGCGGATACTTACCATGTGCGAGGTGGGCAGGCGCAGCTGTGAAAGAGTGTATTCTCGTTACTAGTGCCATTTTGGATCTCACCCGCTATTCATAACATGCGGCATGTGCGTCGATGCCGAGATCCCGCAGCGAAATGCATGACCGGTAAATTACCTATCGCAGCCAGGTGCAGAGAACAACTAAACGTGAAGAAGCGCAGACAAGCAGCGTGTTTCGCCATAGTTGTGCGTGCGCCTGGTCGTGCGGCACGTTCCGTCTGTGTGTGTATGTGGACGATTCTGGGAACATTTTCGAGAGCTCAATGTTTCCAGGTGCTGTCGATTATGTCCGTCACCGCTCTGTACATCGGTTTACCGCTCGTTGCTTATCGACGAAGGGACATCATATTTGCAACAGGTTTGCTATAACAACTTTAAATTAAGCCTGTTACTTCAGTCATTGCTTTAATAATATTGTTAAAGTTGTCTGCATTGGGATTGCTAGGCGCACATTAAAAACTCCAAGCGTTGTGAGTATTGGAAGAAATGGTGACCATTCTAAGTAAGCTCTAACGCGGAGAGAAAGGAAATTCTAATAGCAATCAGCTTTTGATGATTGGGCAATCCCCCTCCCCTAGACATCTGTTCTCTAACAATGAGTGGAATCTCGTAGGGTGAACTGCCCGTGGTTTGCTGCAGAAGAGCGCATTTAAAAGTCTGCGCTGATCGACAGGGTAGAGTCGGTCAACAGTATTTTCCCCGTCTAGCGCACTTCTATACTTGCGTAACAATACGGTGAGCAGGTGAGACTCAACAATGGGAAAGCAAAATGGTTGACCGTCGCCGCCCACACCATAATCTTGGACTATTTCATAGAGGCCCTAGTGCTGAAATGTTTCGAAGAAGTTAAATGTAGAGAAAATTCCTGGAAAATATGCTATTTCTAACAAAATCATAGTTTCAGTGCAGCTGGTGCTTTGTTTCATCATCGTTCTAATCTCCTACTGCCAGCGAGCGTTTGAAGCTAATCTAATGAAAGAATTCCAGCAATATGTCCCTTGTTCGCACAGTAGTAGGGACGACGATTCTCAGTCAGGTTTCCAATTCAATTTTCTTTGGAATTGCCCTCATTGTCCATTTCTCGTGCATAGTTTGTCGACCGGGGGGGGGGGGAGGCATTTTGCTTTTCCATATGATTTGTCCGACACTGGCCATCGGCCGTTTCTCGATGTTTGACGAAACGTTTTAGAATAGTTGTTGTCAACTGGAACTAGTGGAAGCAATGATAATACAAAATGCCCCCCTGCCCGGTGCAAACGTCATCTGGTGAGTCCTTCCCGAATAATTCTTTACTGACCGCTTTTAATTAACGAAAAGCATGGTTCAGTGAGACTCTTCCAAGGCGAGAACGTTCATGTAGCGAATAGCCTTACTGTATCTTTCGCCTTACGCTACACTTCTGTTTCTACTATGAATTATTCTGATGGTTAAGTTTGGGGTTTTAGTTACAGAATTACTGGGTGGATGGCTCGATTTATCGACCGAATGCACAGAAGATTCATGGTGACTATCACGTAGCTGGTACAATGGCACAGCGAGCTGACAACGAAGCCGTTCATCAGAGTAAGTGTAATTCCTTACGACTGTGAACGCTAAAGAAGAACCAAGCTCTGGTCGGCTTGGGAGGGGCATTTCTGAACTCCCTTTAGCTCCTTTTCCTAGTTCATACCCATTGAAAGGTTACACATTGATGGGGTCCGTAAGCTCCTGTGAAACGGTGCAATGGTGGAAATGAGGCTTTTCAGTTACAGAATTTTACAGGTCTTTACAAGGTGACTGAAACTAGCACCGCTAAGTACCCTCTAGTGCCCCATTAATTCGAGCTGCGTCAGCAAACTGTACACTCACCTCCGGATCCTGATTCTTGTCGGTTAGGCGTATGGCAGCGTTCAGACTTCGCGAGGCGCTTCGGTCATCGGTGTAGCCGAAAACATGCTCATCGATCGTGGAATCGCGCGACCAAAGCGCTGCTGTCGCGAAGTCTGAACGCTGCCTATGGGGTCCGCAGCTGCAGTAACCTGCCTTTTTCACCGATCAAAAGTGCACGGGAACGGGGCTATAGGGCAATGGTACGCGGTTGCCGTCTCCCAACTCCGCCTACCCTCTTGCACGCCCGGTCACATGCCTAATCATAGCCGAACGCGTTATTTGTCTCCCTCTTCCGCTTCTAGTAGTAGTGTATCGCTGAGTGCGTGTTTCGATTTTGGTATCGCCGCAAGTGCTGCACGCGCATTGCGGATAGCACGAGTGTAATATAAAGACGGCGCCCGGGTTTTCAAGTGGAGAAAATGGCACAGTGATGCAGCTGTGGGCCAAGTTGCCCTGCTTATGGCAAGATCCGTCCTCCGATATGAGAGTACAGTTTGTCTCTGATCTTACACCCTCGTTCATTGAAGTCCCTCTGGAAAGAGCAGTGCCGCATTGTTCCCGCTCTTGCTCAAGGATTCCAAAAAGAAACTTCATTGAATACATTTTCCGCGATCATCGCGTGAGTGGATAAGTTGGCAGGATTTGCTATGGTGCCTTGAGCGCCCTCATGGTACGGTGAAAATCCCAGGAGCGCCAATAGTTATGGGTCCCCGCCCATCCTATCATCGCGAAATGTGCCTCTGAATCTCACACATAGTGTTCGTATTTTCCATTCAGGTGTGACTAAACAACAAAAACCTCCGAATTCCACATCTCGTCCGGCACATTCTAAGAGTGACAGCTATGGTAGGTTGCTTTTATTACTAGACTTGTTTCTTAAGCACTGGAATGGGGAGGCGGTCAAGACAATCGTAGCTTGATATCCCTAGCATGCAACGACGGCACCGGCAAATTGTAACGTCAATCTGCTCGATTAGAGCCACCGGGGATCTCACTAAACTACGACATAGCCGAGACCCATTTTTTTGCTACTTCTTGGTTGAACTGTTGTCTACGTCCCCACTCATGACATCTAGAATTCACTGTAATTTGCCCAAGGGCGCCGCGAAGTCGCACGGCGCAACCCACACAGTGTGCGAATACGATATTCTTTGTCACATATCCTGAAACGTCGTTAAAAGAAATTAGGTCCCACCCCCATACACCTTTTCGCTGCGAGTGACATTATCGCGACATTTCGTGGTGGTGCGCTAGTGAGGAGGGGCATTCTGCACATTCGCTTGTTCCAGTTAGATTTCTCATCACAGCTGGTTGTGAGATCTGTGGACTCTTGTCAGCGTAAAATGAAGCTGCATACTTAACAGAAATTCACAGGCCTCCAGATAGAGGGAATAATCGATGTGAGCGAGCAAGGTGCCCCCACCAGTCCGAACTGCGTCACACATTCTTTGACTCCAGGAGCGAGAACTCGAAATAGTTGTGCTTTCCTCACTGGCGCGCCCCTCTTTTACGATACCAAAAGGGGAACTGCTTCAATGCGAAAGGCCCACGGTTAAAGGCAGCGTCCGCGATCAACCAAAGTGAAAAAACCCTCCAATGAAAACGAACGCGGAGTACGCAACCACAGCGGAAATCCCACTCTTGCGGCTCGAAATCGATTGGTTGACGAGGGCGGAGTCAACAAGGCTGAGCTGACGCCTCCTTCCTGTTAATCCCGCCCCGACTGGTTAACAGTTATCAGTGCTTGCTGGCATTGATAAACGCTAAGTTTCTGGAGTTCCGAGGCCGGCGACGTGTATTGGAGAACTCACCAAAGGTCTGCGAAACTCGTCCACATGCCTTAAATTTCGTAGGGTCTTATTTCACGCTCTTCCACACCTTTTTCCTACTTTTTTTGATTAGTGCTTCATTGGCCACCTGTTCTAACAAATTTGACCCCTGAGACCTGCCAAAGTCCATCGCGGGCGCTGTCTTTAAGTTCTGCGCCCATCCAATTGTTATGGAATGCGTCTTTAAGATTAGTGCACAGAGCATGACAAGAACCCATAACGGTTAGAGTTGGTCACGTTACGAGACATTGCGCATTGCGGCGCGGCAAGAACGCGCTATTTATTTCTACTGCGAAGACAGAATATCAAATACGCCTTGATTTTCAGATGTTGCCCCGGTGCCAAGCGTCAAATATGGGCTGAGCGAATACGGTAAGAAATTACTGTTGTTTTGCTATAGTTGAAAGTCTAAAAGGGGTAGTCTCCACCGTTGATCAATCCTTTTGCGGGATGCGTCACGCATTTTCAGTCAGAATCGCAGTAGTTTAGAGCGCGTTCAGACTTCGCGATCGCGCGATCCGATCGCGCTACTGGGATGGGTGAAATTCACACCGGGGGGGGGGTCATGTTTGTTCATGTTTATTGTGTTTATTTAAAAGAGAACAGGAACAATAAAC